ATATGTTACAGTAATAATATTTTTTATAATTTTTTTATACTGTATAGTGATGTTGATTTGCATTATTTCATATTAGGCATTTTGTTGTTTAGAACAAAATAGGCTCACCTTCAAGTAGTTCAAGCGAAGCTCCGCCTCCAGTAGAGACGTGAGACACCTTGTCTTCAGTGCCCCACTTAGCGCAGCAGGTGGCTGTGTCTCCGCCACCTACACATAAATAAGGTTTCTAATGCATAGAGGACACGTAAAGTCGATGCTTTTAAATCATTGATATAATTTTGCACTTACACGGTAATGTTATACAAGATCTGCTATGTTTTTGATTTTTTAAATTATATCCATTGACATCGTGATTCAGGTGATTAGCTACGCGCCTTTTCATAATAGTTGCAGTGACTCTAGAGCTTTGATTAAAAACACGCACACACTCAACATAGCCTCGCACTAGGGTAACCCTGGGTCGCGGGTGCCATGGACACACACATAGACAACCACAAGTTGCATCCAATATCACGAGAGAAATAAATGTAGGCCATACAAATATTTCTCCCGGCCCGGGAATCGAACCTGGAACCTCTGCGTGACAGTCTGAAGTTTCACAAGCACCCTTACTCTTATTAGTGTTTGGCGGCAGAAGTACGTTTGATGGCAGTACTTCCCTGTACAAACGCTTTCCCAACCTCTACTGCTACTAACTATAAGGCAGTGATTTTATTCATCAAAATGTTAACAAATATGGAAATGTTTATAACTATTAATAACTATGATCCGGCTGTAAGAAACAGTTAATTTTATTCCGCAGTTTCAGAGTCTCAGTGATAAAAGTGGTTTGTATTTGATAAATACATAGAATCATCTCTTAAATCTCGCAGACCTGTAAGGGTCATCCCGTTTTTGTCTTAATTTATCACACTGTAGTAGCTTGTTTAAGGAATATAAATTCTAAAATTCGTAGATATCGTGGAAACTCTGTAACTTGTGATAATTATTGAATAAATGAATGATAATTTTTCTATTTTGCAGGGTTGCGTAATCAGTACATACATACACATCACACCTGTCTCCCACCGGGGTAGACAGAGACTATGGACCTCCACTTGCTACGCTCCTGACAAACCTTTACCTAAACATTTCGCCTACACACCAATCAGTCTCTTCATACATGCATTATTTAAAAGACATCGAGTATATAACCAGAAATAGAGACGAAATAAGGGCCCTCCATCCCTGGCAATTTATCAGGAAAATGGGACTTATATCACTTTTAAATATCAACTCTCGTTTGCACTGAAATCACAAATTAAAAAACTGAAATAGTACAGCGCCAACAACTGACCTGTGTAAAGATAATAATCTCTAACTATGGGGGGCTGTTCCATTTTGGGTGTGGGAAAAACAGCAAACCATCTAACTACAAAACAAACGGAATCACATTTCATCGGTAATTATATATGTAATTTTTCAATTCACGTCCGTTACAGCAAAGCTCAAGTTACACTGGTCGATTTGAAGTAAAACAATTGACGAACCCCGTCAATTGTTTCGAATTCGGGCAAGCCAATCGCAAAAAATAGCCGGAGCGCAGGCATGATTTGGCAGAATAGTTTTCAAACAAATTAATAGTTATTTTTGATTTAAGTGCGGAAAGTTAGTCATTATTCACGAGTCTCGAGGCTTCAAGACTCGAGACAAGTGAAAATGACAAATCCGCATGTGTACCAAACGACGTTTTTAATACATTTGCGAAAAAACTACATTGAAAGTAAAATAAAACAGTATTTAAAAAACTCGTTTTATTTCTTTGTCTGATAAAAATTCAGACTACAATGGCAACTGTTGCCAGTATTCAGCCAATTAAAATTACTATTTTAGTGGCGCGGCGCGCTGCGGTCTCGCGTAATACTCACCTCCGGTCATTGTTAATACTCAATCAGCCACCTTTATGGAAAATACTTTGGTATTTTTTAATGTAACCCGTTGTTTTATAAGACACCAATGCAATTTAAACAAATAAGATGTTTGTAAGTAAATATAAGTTATAATGACGAATGACTTACGTCACAAAGCACATAAATATTAAATAAATATACAACCTCTTTAGTTCTATGTTTAAGACTTGAAACAACAGTAAATTTAAAAAAAATGGAAAAGTAAAAAGCACTAGTACGAAAAATCCAACTTTCGGCACGATTTGTAATACGAAAAATACCACTACTAAAAATGACATTTTTACTAGTGGTATTTTACTAATAACTACTAATAACTAGGAAATGAAACTATTTTTCCGGATTTAAATTCCGGAAAAACAGTTTCATTTCCTATGTGTAACAATCGCGAAAACCTAAGAACTCGATACTAATAACTAACTAACCACTACTAATAACTGTATTAAAAATGACATTTCGTCTCTGTCTGGTTACATAATCGATGTTTAAAATCATCCCTAACCTGATTGAGAATGTACGCCACATTCGCTATATAAAGAATGATGGGCAAATTTCTATTAAACTTGGGCGTAACATCAACAGTGATTATGTTTTCAATACTATATACTATCAATATCTCCGGGTTTTGCTTGTTTTTCTTTTTTCAAATATAGTGGAATAAAATCCAAAAAGTTTACAATGCGTAAAGGAATAAATTACCAACATTTATTCATATATGACCACTTCTAATAAATGTTGTGCGGGAGCTACAAATCGATACCTCCAATGAACACTACTCCAACTTTATTTTTTGGTAATTTTCTGTTATTTTGGTAAACAACCGTATTTATTTACTACTCCCCGAATTTTGTGGAATAGAAAATATAAAACAAAATAAAAAAAATCGAATTATGGGAAATAAAAATAAGGAACCAAAGAACAAAATAAAAACAGAACAGGTTCAAAAATTATGTTTATTATTATGTTCATTGGAGATATCGAAATGGCTCATGACGCCCCAAACCTAGGTACCACCACCAAAACGAGATATGCACATATATGTATCTACGACAACTTTGATACCTACTGTTAAATTTTTTTTTTTTTTATATAATATGTAGTGACTGGATGTTATGGACTCGCGTGTAGATTACCATCCACTTACAGCTTTAAATCGCAAAGATCTGAGGGGCACTGTCACCGCGCCCGTCACCCTGAGACATAAGTTGACAAGTCCCATGTGGTTGTAATTTCACCAGCACTCTTATCCTTCAAAACCGGAACACAGTAATGTTGACATTCCTGTTTGGCGGTAGAAATAGGTAAGGTGGCACTACTACCCTGGACGAATTCTATCACAAGGAGCTCTAAGCTTCCTATTAAGGTTTGAAACCAATTCTGTTGAATTTACGCCCATTTTGACTCATCATTCTTCGTGCTGTTAATTTACCAACATTCATTTCGACATGACTAAACTATCGAAGCATCCCCTTCTCCATCCTGGTCGATATATCTTTCGTACCACAACGCTCTCTAACCACAGTTCGTGATCTAATATCAGAATTTGCTTATTAAAACCATAAGTGAATTTATGAAATTAAATAATGAAGCAATAATATTTTTTATTCTTCATAAATCTTCTTAGATTTTTGTTGTAATAAGCTTACCAATAATAGTGATTGTGCCATTGGCAGTGGCTTTTACAACTCCATCCATAAGCGCCTTGGTGCCTTCGGCGAACTTCGCGAATTCAAACACGCCAGCGGGTCTGGAAAATACAAACGTCGTTAAAAACCAAAAACAAAGGTCTGCAACAAGCACATAGAAATTTGACATTAAAAAAAACATTAGTTGGCATAGCGTCTGGCACTGTTTGCTGGAAGACGCTGGTTCGAATCTGGCCGCGTCGAAGAATTTTTTCTTAATGTTCGATCTTTGTATTAACAATTATAACAAACTAGAGGAGTAATTTCACAAAAATAATTTAACATCATGGTGGTTAAACATCAGGGGGCCTTTTTTTTATAACCTTTCAAAAAACAATCTTATTTCAATGTATGCTTATTATAATATTACTCATATTCGTACCATGAGAAACCTGTCAACTAAGTAATGTATTATTGGTAAAGTGGCTGAAAGAACGAATGATTTCCCAATATTGTCTATTCCTTACTAAAAATAGGAAAGAAATAACGCTATATGAACAGTATGACTTTGTAGTCATCTCTTTCTTTTTGGATGTTCCTATTCGTCCTATCGTAGTATAATGTTAAAGTACTTAATACTATTTACATTCAGAGAATTTTAATTACCAAAAAAAGAAAAGTATGTAATTGTGAAATCTATTAAAATTACATTGTTTTTAATTATTTTTCCGCATTTTCACGAAGAAAAATAAATAAAACAAGCTGAGTCTTGATAGTCACATTGTGAATTCGGAATTATAGTCTAGTGTCAACTGTTAGTGTTGCCAAGAACATATAGATGTCGCTATCATAGTTTTACGAAATAAACATCGCGCATTTTTATTTAACGAGAAATTATTTCCTATGTACTAGTAAATAGAAAAATAAACAAAATATTGAAGAGATATATGTAAATAAATAGGTTCAATTTCACTTTTAATCATTACAAATCAATATTTAGACAATAAATTCGAAAATAATATTGTTTCAATTGCATCCGTGTAACTATTTTAAGATTGCTAAATTTGATATAAGAACATATTACTTTAATGTTTAAGTCGCGTCATAGTACGAACTCATTGAATAAGTAGTCACAAAGCTGCCAATAAAACATCATAGTTTTAACATTACAATAAGCTTACTTTAACGCGTGTAAGCTCTAGCTAGTTCTTAATGCCTCGACGCCATAGAGTCCAGATATGAGGTTGCATTTCCTGTCCGAAACTACGCTCTGCGCCGGAGCATTGATGCATCCTGACAATTAGTATTAAGATAGATTTAAGACAGTAATATCATGTACTAAAATTATGAATTAAAATAAACTTTTCTTTTATTAAAAAATTATATTTTTTTGTGAAAGCTCTCCGAAAGAGCTTAACTGGCTAAGTCGGTAGGATGGTGCTGAACTGGACAACCAAAAATCGTGTTCAGTGTCCGTTTTAACGGTTTACAGTGCGAACTATTTTCCCAAAAATTGACTTTACGTTTTGTGGAAGCTGCGACGTCTTGAGGGTTCACACCGCCTCCATGAGGACTAATTAAGATGATTGTTTTGCTGATAATACTGTGAGTACGCTTGGATTTGTAAAGTTCACAACTTTTCCTTTCCTGTTTCCACGAATTTTGTGAAAAAATATAAATAGTAATAAGAATTACTCATTTGTGTTTTACGTTCATATATAGCACTGCTATTACAATAGTGTTGTAACTCAAAATATGTGAAATTTAATATTATATCATTACTGAACGTAAAATTTGATTCTCTACATGTCAAAAAACCGTTTTTAGAATATTGCAAGAAACAATCAAAAGATATCTACTTTACTCAAAAAGAGACACACTTTATGTGAGCTAGTTCTAAGTTAAAATAATCCTAATTAAAAAACATAAAATTACTTTTTCCATTTTATTTTAAAAATACATTTCAGAAATTGTTTACGTGTCTATAATAAACTATAACGTACAAATTTTAATACTTTTTTTGCGGGAAGTGAGTAACTCGTTTTTCATCGATTCTGAAAAAGTCCTCTTTTTGAGTTAATACACTATTGTATTAACAGTGCGATATTTACTATAATATATCATTTAAACTGTATCGCACAGTCTTATTTGTTACTAATTGAATTGTTTCTTTACATTTTAATAATTATAATTTCGTAAGTGCATCATGGCACAATTACAACTGTTTGATTTAGCTCTGAAAATAGTACCTGAATATAATGGAGATGCTAATTCATTATATAGATTTATTAATGCATCTGATCATATCTTTACACAGTATTTTGACAATGAAAACGACAATAATTTTCAAAATATTATTGTTGTTAATGGATTGATCAGAAAATTGAAGGGAAAGGGATGAAAATTCCCTTAACCGTGTCCTTGTCAATTTACGACGAGAGCCCCCAACAGTTTTACGATAAATGCACAAATTTGTTATTTACATAATGACGATCAGAACGTTATTGCATGCAAGCGAGATTTTTTCACGGCTCAGGCGTTGAAATCCTTTTCAGCTGGATTAAGGGAGCCTTTAGGGTTTACCATTCGTGCTATGCGCCCCGAATCTTTGCCTCAATCCTTGCAATTTATTAAAGAAGAAGGCAATATAATGTACTTACAAGAACGTAATCAACCTCAAAGTAATACTAATATCAATAAACAGGCAAAATTTCAACCAAAACCCTAATTTCAGATATAATAACTCACAGAGATTTTCCCCAAATTGGTTTCAACAAATACCAAATCAAAATCATAATAATAGCAACCAACCAACAAAATTTCAGATCGAATTTTAACCAGTTTCGACCTAATCAAAACCGTACCAAATCCGTCAAAACCGACCCCTATGAGTGTTATTTCTCGCTTCGAAGCCCTCGAAAACTGCATAGATGTGGACGATCTAAACAACATGGTGGTGGACACTGTCCGTACGGTTGGGTCCAAGTTTTTCAAAACCCACCGTACCAGAATAAAGAAACTCTCCGACAAAACACTTCAACTCATGGAACATAGAAATGAAATGAGGCTACAGAACTCAGAGGATGCAAGTCACTACAGGCGGCTAAATAGGCAGATATCGAAGTCTTTGACTAGCGACATACGCCAATTTAATACAGAGCGTATTAAAGAGGCCATTGAGCGGAACAAGGGCTCCAAGGTGTTCGCGAGAGATCTGTCTATTGGGCAAAGCCAACTGACGAAGCTAAAGACTGATGACGGTAGCATCATTTCATCTAAGCCTGAAATCCTGAGGGAGATAGAGAGTTTCTATCGACAGCTATAGTCCACGAAAGCACCTGTTGAAAGCGAGGTTAGAGACCCCAGAGCCAAGCTTACCCGACATTATACCGAAGATATCCCGGACGTCAGCCTGTATGAGATTAGTGTGGCTCTCAAACAACTCAAGAACAACAAAGCGGCGGGCGATGATGGAATCACTACAGAACTTCTGAAAGCGGGTGGCAAGCCGACTCTTAAAGTCCTCCAGAAGCTTTTCAATTCTGTTATCGTCGAAGGTCAAACGCCGAAGGCATGGGGCAAAGGCGAGGTCGTTCTGTTCTTCAAAAAGGGTGATAAAACACTCTTGAAGAACTATCGGCCAATGTCGCTTCTGAGCCATATCTATAAGTTGTTTTCGAGAGTTATCACGAATCGTCTCGCTCGCAGGTTTGACGACTTCCAACCTCCCGAACAAGCCGGTTTCCGAAAGGGTTTTAGTACCATAGACCACATCCATACGCTGCGGCAGGTTATACAGAAGACCGAGGAGTACAACCGGCCACTTTGCTTAGCGTTTGTGGACTATGAGAAGGCCTTTGATTCGATCGAGTCCTGGGCGGTGCTGCAGTCTCTCCAAAGGTGCCATATAGACTATAGGTATATAGAGGTGTTACGGTACTTATACAAAAATGCCACTATGTCAGTCCGATTACAGGATCAGAGCTCTAATCCTATCCAACTGCAACGAGGCGTGAGACAGGGAGATGTGATATCTCCAAAGATGTTCACTGCTGCGTTGGAGGATATTTTCAAGCTTCTGGACTGGAAAGGACTTGGCATCAACATCAATGGCGAGTACCTAACACACCTTCGATTTGCCGATGATATAGTTCTTATGGCTGAGACCTTGGGAGACCTGAACACAATGCTCGAAGATCTCAGTAGTGTTTCCCAAAGAGTGGGTCTTAAGATGAACATGGACAAGACGAAGATCATGTCGAATGTCCATGTTGTACCCGCTCCAGTTAAAATTGGGAGCATTACACTCGAAGTTGTTGACCATTACGTATACCTGGGGCAGACAGTCCAGTTAGGTAAGTCCAACTTTGAGAAAGAGATCTCTCGTCGAATCCAACTCGGATGGGCAGCGTTCGGGAAACTCCAAAAAATCTTTGCGTCCAAATTACCTCAATGTCTCAAGACGAAAGTCTTTGACCAGTGTGTGTTGCCAATGATCACATATGGATCAGAAACGTGGTCCCTCACTATGGGCCTCACAAGAAGGCTCAAGGTCACTCAGCGGGCAATGGAGAGAGCGATGCTCGGTATTTCCCTGCGTGATAGAATCAGAAATGAGGAAATCCGTAGGAGAACTAAGGTAACCGACATAGCTCGAAGAATTGCTCAGCTGAAGTTGCAGTGGGCGGGGCACATAGCTAGGAGAACCGATGGCCGTTGGGGCGGAAAGGTTCTTTAATGGCGACCGCGCACCGGACGACGCTCAGTGGGTAGGCCACCCACCAGGTGGACCGACGATCTGGTGGAGGTCGCGGGAAGCCGATGGATGCGGGCAGCGCAGGACCGATCGTCGTGGAGATCGTTGGGGGAGGCCTATGCCCAGCAGTGGGCGTCGTATGGCTGAATGATGATACAGGCGAACAATATCGTCTAGCAAAAGCTTATCATGAAGGAAAGTCGAATCATATATAGTGGAAGTCAGGTATAGTGGAAACTGAAAAACAGTTAAGGCGTAATTACTGTTGGCCAAATATCCCTAAGTCCTTTACTGAAATTATAAACAACTGTTCTTCTTGCCAGATTAATAAGTACGAAAGACATCCTAATAAACAAAGTCTCCAGTTTACTTCAATCCCTACAAAGCTATTCGAAATTATTCATATAGACACTTTTCAAATCAAGGGTCAAAAATTTCTGACAATAATAGACAACATGATCAGTTTTGATGTTCAGTCGCTGTTTAACAACCTACCTAAAAGATTGCATTGAAATTGTACGTAGAAAGCTAAGGGAACATAATATGTCCATTGAATATGCAGAATTATTAGAACACTGCCTAATGTCAGGCTATCTATTGTGGAATAATGAATTTTATCTACAAATGGACGGTATAGCGATGGGCTCCCCGGTATCTCCCGTTGTTGTCGATATTTTCATGGAAGACTTCGAGGAGCGAGTTTTACCCATGGCCCCAGCTAGGCCGAAGATTTTCACAACGTTACCTAAAGATAGCATACCTTCTTTCTTGGTCCACCTTAATTCTTTTAGTACTAAGATCCAATTTACTATGGAACAAGAGAATTGTGGTACTCTAGCTTTCTTAGATGTTTTAATTAAAAGAAATCCTAATAACACCTTAGGCCATACTGTATTTCGAAAGAAAACCCATACAGATAGGTATCTCAATGGTAATTCCCATCACTATCCTAGCCAGTTAGCTACTGTGGGCAAATCTTTGTTTCAGAGAGCACATGGTGTCTGCGACAGTAATCATCTGGCAGGGGAACTTCAGCATACAAAGCAAGTCCTACATGCGAATAAGTTGAAGATTTCACGCCAATGCCGCAGGCCCCGTGTCAAACCACCAACAGTCGAGCGAAGACCTGCCATCTTACCTTACATGAGAGGTGTTATAGATAAGATCGGAAGAGGCCTCAGGCGTGCATCTATCAACACTTATTTCAAGCCCCTGAGGAAGATTTCTCAGTTCCTGAAACCCGTAACATCCCCTTACAGGATGCAGAAGTTTACAAGCTTGACTGTGAGTGCGGCCTCTCTTATATTGGACAAACAAAGCGAAGTATTTGTGCCCGCGTCAAAGAACATATAGCTGATGTCAAACACCGTCGCTTAAACAAGTCTGCAGTCTGCGAGCATGTCATGAATAAACCTACACATTCAATGAAGTTTGACAAACCCCAGGTCCTTGCAAAAGAAGTCCGTTATCTACCCAGGATGCTGCGAGAGGCCATTGAAATTAAAAAACATCCTAATTTCAACAGGGAAGATGGTTTCTCCGTACCACCAGTTTGGGATTCAGTATTTCCTCTAATGAAAAATCCCAAACAGATATAAGACTACAGTACTAAGTAATATGTTTTAGTTTATTCTAATTTCTATTATTAATTAATAATTAAAAAAAAGGTTCTTATGGTTTTGCAATTGATACACATTGGAAATCGTCGCCTTACTTTCTCAAACTCGTATCTTAAAACACAAAGTTACTGAAATGCAAAAAATGGATTGTATATATACAAATTTCGCAGGGTGATTTCACATCACATTTCCTTCATATTCACACTGGCTTTTCCATGTTCTTTAAGTAATGGATCCAAATTAACACCTTTTATAAGAAATTTAAATAAATAGAAATGAAACTTAGGTTTATTTTTGTTTGGCTTTGGTTGGAAAGGCCTCGAAACATTGGTTTGTTTAAAAAAAAAAAAACAAATATACGCAATTTAGATCCGAAAAATTAGCTTCATTCTCTATTTTCTACTTAGTACCTTTACTGTAGTCAGGCAATACTATTGCAGTATATAAAATACAATTCAATTGCTATTAACGGTTCTGCTAACTGTCGATATAATTGTGCGAGTATTATCTATTATTCATTCTAGTATTAGTACTATCGATATTGTAACTAGTTTGTTTTCAAGGTCAACTCGATCAATCGACAGCTGTTCAACACTCCGAAACAATTCCTGTTAAATAAGTAATACTCGACCAAATTAAGAGGTTTACAACCAATGCGTCCTACCGGTCATGACTTATGGAGCCGAGACGTGGAATATGACGGTCAAACTGGCTCACAGACTTACACATCGCTCAGCGAGCTATGGAAAGGTCTATGCTGGGTATCCCGTAAAGGAACGAAGTTATCATAATACTACGTAATACGGCATAAGACTAAAGTTGTGGACATCGTCCAGAAATGTAGCAAGTTGAAGTGGCAGTGGGCTGGCCACATCTGTTGCAGAACCCATGAACGATGGAGTAGACGGGCTCTCGAGTGGAGACCACGTCTCGGCAAACGTAACATAGGAAACGACTATCGGAAAACGGGTGATCAGGCACTATGGCGTACACTTGGGGAGGTTTATGTCCCGAAGTGGACTGCAATAGCCTGGTTGATTGATTGATTGAAATTAAAAGACGCATGATGCGAATGAAGCTTTGTCCTACATTGTCATTTAATGTCGTCGAGTGTTACTTATTTGATAATTGTTACGGACGGAGAACGAGAGTATAGGGCCAGAATACTTTGAAAATGAAACTTTTTTGCTTTAAAAACAAAGTTTCATTTCCAATGTGTGGCTATCGCGAAAGATTTTAGGGACTCGGTACTGTAGATTAAACATGTTACGCTTTTTAGATACACATGGATGCGGGCGCCACAAGACTGGAAGAGTTAGCGAGCTTATGTTCACCAGTGGATGTGTACAAGCCGGTGATAAAATACACAATAACATACCCATTCCAGACAATGACCTTAGCCCTTGCAATGGGTTCGGCGAAGAGCTCCCTGGACTTAGGTCCTACGTCAAGACCTAACCAGCCGTCGGGAATGCCGCTTTGTGCGTCTGCTACCCCTGTCTATTAGACAAATATATAAAAAAAAAAAAAAAAAAAAAGAAAAATAAGCTGATAATAGTCATAAATATTGCTTAGATGATATATAAGACCTGTAAAGAGCCCAAAACATTGATTTGTTTACTCATACCTCACACGTAACTTGCTGTCAGTCAAAGTACCATTTGTTGCTTTTTAAATTAAATGTTATAATATCCTTTTTTTATATATTGTAAGAAATTCAAACATAACACTAGGGGCGCTTGCGCACTATGTTCGATTCAATCAGTTCCGAATCTAAATAATGGCGGTCCGAAATGTCACAGGGATAATTTTTTCTGTAGGTGTTCGGAAGCGATATTCGTATTTTCTCGGATTGGAATCGGATTTAGCGCACATAGGCATCCGAAGTGGGTTCGAGCTTTCTGATTTGTATAGTCTCCGATTCGGAATGAAAACGAATCGGATGCAGTGAGCAAACGCAAAAATTTCTCTATTTTTAAATATTTCACTTAAAAATTTAAAAATGCTATTTTGACTTATGTTGACTTAAATACTTATTTATTTTAAAGTTAATTTCAATAATAGTGCAAATTTATTGAAATGTATTCAGTGATTTACTTCCTGATTTACTTAAAATAAGAATTTCGAATATTGAATTAAATGTGTTGAAATGACCTCCAAAAAGGATTTTCCCAATAATAAAAAAGAATACAAAATCACGTATTAGATGATTTTTCAGACTGGAAGGTCCATGCTTACTCCTGATTCATGACTTAATTATTTTTCAAATTTTGTTTAGACAGAAAAATGTTACCTGCGCATTTTCATCAAACTTGTCGGCAGTGATGAAGTCTACAGGAAGATGTACTTTGACATTGTTCTTAGCAGCTTTTTCTAGAAGGTTCTTCACGATTTTTGCACCCTCGGCATCATATAGGGAACTACCGATCTAAAACAATCACACACAAGTCATACCCTTAGAAAAAAATTGGAGATAATAACATTATTAATGTTAAAGATTATCTGTATATAATCAGCATTATTTTGTAAACTTTACATTATTATATACAATATATTGTATTACAAGAATCGTAAAGAATAGGAATAAATATTACATTTAAAAAAAATTACAAATACCCAGTACAAGTTTTGTACTATGTAATTTTAACATAGTTAATGTAGTTATGTGAAATAATGTAGGAGCATATTAAATAATATAATAATAATAATTAGATTTTGAAGAAACAGAGAACATAATCACTACTTAACGTATTCACACACAATACTCTTTAAGGAATAATAATAATAATAATAACGCACACACTCAACATAGCCCCGCACTAGGGAAACTCTGTGTCGCGGGTGCCATGGACACACACATAGACAACCACAACTTACACCCAAACTCACAAGAGAAATAATTGTAGGCCATACAACTATTTCTCCCGGCCCGGGAATCGAACCTGGGACCTCTGCGTGTCAGAGGTAACCGTTCGGCCACGGAGGCACTTTAATAAAAACGTAAGTTTGTACTAGGTCTCTGTTTAAAGAACTGAATTTGTGATTTATTCCTTATCTTAATAATTTATCTATAAAGAAAATTGATGGAAAAAGATTACACAGTAGCCACGTAAAAGCAACAGAGACTAGTTCGAGTCTAGTCAGAGGATTGCAGAATTATTTTTTGTGTTAATAATAAAACTTACAAATATTTTGTAACTGTACTTACCGACATGCCCTGACTTTCCTTGAGAAAAGTGTACGCCATGCCCCCTCCAATGATCATCTCATTGACTTTGTCCAGTAGGTTCTCAATCAGCTGAATCTTATCTGCCACTTTTGCACCACCCAGGATGGCCAGGAATGGTCTGCAAATGAAAATTTAACATTATATAAATATATACTTGTATATACAAGTTGTTGTTGTCAGTTATATAACTGACAACAATAAGCAATATAAAATATCAAATAATTATAATTTTTAATTTTATTGAATGTCACAATGTAACAGACATTAAAAGACCACCTTAATATTTAATTATTTTTGTGAAATTACTCTAAATTAACTACTAATTTGCTATAATTATTAAAACAAAAATCTAACACTTAGAAAAAACCTTCAATTTGGTTGGATTGGAACCAACGTCTTCCAGAAAACAGTGCCAGACACGATATAGTAGAATAATCCACAAGGCCGACATTGACAATGACAACCAAGTGTTACAGGCCTTATTGAAAATAAGATTTAAAAAAAAAGATATTAAATAAGAAACTACTTTTGAAATTATCTTGTGGTTAGCACAACATTACATAAACTATCACACTGTTAAGCAGCAGGCCTGTACCATGATACTTATTTATTTCTTATGAAATTACTTCAACTAGTTTGTGCTACAAAGATTGAATACAACAAAAAATTCCTTTAATCTGATAGAACAGGAACCTGCATTTGTGTATGGACCAGGGAGATCTTTGTATAAATAATCATAACTAGCTAGTGGCGTAATTTCACAAAAAAACAAATTAATTATGATAGTAAAATTACAATTAATATTTATAATTACCTGTAACTACTTCATAAATCTAATTGTTTTTGGGGCCATAAAATAAATGTTTTATCAAATATTAATGTAAATACTTCTTTACCTTTCTGGTTCATGAAGAGCCTTAGCAAAGTATTGCAGTTCCTTTTTGAGCAGAAAGCCACTGGCTCTCTGCTCAAAGCCTTCTCCCATCATTGAGCTGTGTGCTCTATGAGCTGTGCCTGTAAAATAATGTATGTATTTTCAAAGATGTAACATACTACCACCACACCAGTTTATTAAAGTATACATAATTATATCATTTTCTTACAAAATGGGTACTAAATATTTGTTATTATACAAAAACAGATAGAAATAAATTTCAGTCTCAGCTTAATTTATAAGCTGTTAAAAATACTGAGTTGTTATGTTGCAGTGCTAATCAACTACATTATTATGGAATATATGAAGAATATTTTCATAAAAATTTTAATAATATAATTGTTACATATCATCAATTTAAGTATTTTTTTACCACCTCTTTTAACAGTATTTCTCATCTTTACATTACTTCTAGGTGTATACTTAAAAATACTTGCTACATTGTTAACCTCATTGTCACGTTCCATCAGGTGCGATGGAGTTCAAATGCGCACTTATTTTTTATAGAAAAATGTTTTCTAATCATTTTTAGTAATAAAATGGTTCTTACCAAAAGCATCATTAATGTATACATCTCCTAGCTTCCTCAAGCTAGCTCTGAAAGCTTTCACCTTTTCTGGGTCAGCTTTAACTTTTGCACCACTAGCATCAACACCTTTGCCTTCTTCTTCAATGTGGAATCGAAGGTTCTCAAGAAGAATTACTGAACCTACAGGAGGGTCGGCACAGGCCGCTTCAACTTCGGGGCCTACGCAGTCCGGTAGGAACTGGATATCTCTAAAGTGATAAATTAGGAAATTACTTCACTATTTTTTTAATAACAGTAGATCAATATTAAAAGGTATATAAGAGAGAAACCTAGTTGTTACCTGCTCAGTAGTTTCTTAAGCTCTTCAGCTACTGGTTTCAAGGTGTACTTGAGGTTTGCTTGACCGTCAGGCCTGCCCAAGTGTGACATAAGAACGACGGACTTCGCGCCCTTATCCAAAGCATATTTGACAGAGTCTAGAGCCGCTACAATACGCTGATTGTTGGTGATTACACCTTCTTTGAGAGGAACATTGAAATCCACTCTGAAAATTTTAAATTTTTTGAGATATAAATAAAAGAACTTGGCAAACAAATGTTTAAAGCTTTTACATCAATAATAGGCGTATTACTCACCTCATAAGAACTCTCTTGCCACTCAAGTTGAGAGCGTCAATGCTGAGTTTATTTAAAGCCATTTTGAGGGGTAAAATGTGTCTAAAACGATGAATAATGGACTATCGGCTCCAGAGAAATTCAATTACAAATAATAGTCTAAGAAACGATAGGCATAAAATTGTCAAGTTCAACCTTGAAATGTCAAATAGGTCAAACATTCTTGCCAAGTACAAATAAGTTTATATTCCCGGGATATCTGAATTAGATTTTTTTTACTCAGACAACTCTGTAGCTATAGACAACTAGAAGTAAATTCGAATGAGAAATATTAAAGTGAAAAATTTTTACAAACGTTTTAAAGAGTGGTGGTTGCGTAAAATAGTTGTGTTAAGTTTGCCAACAGCTTGTAATATGGTAGGGTTTATACCCTATACCCTATCGATATATTTCTATTATTGCCCATCCCTAGGGATGGGCAATAATAAATAATAAAAATATATCGACATGTATCGTTTCGATATTTATCGATATAAATATATTTTGATTGAGGCACTAGTAAAGTAATCTAAAAATATTCCCAAACTATATCTGTAAAGTAAAATTCGGGAAAATAAAGACACGTTGCAATGTATCCAAATTACACTATAGGCTTGGAAGTGTTGAAGTTATATTTTTTTATCAAATACCATATAAAAGTACTTACTCTTAATCGACTAGCGTGTATGAAAGCACTGATGCGTGTTAATGAAATGAACATGAACATGGCGCCTTGATCAGAAATAAGTGAAAAAAGCAACCTTATTAACTTCACAAAGATTACTACTTACAGTTAGATATAATACATCTTTCATCTCAATAATCGCGCACCTAAGTAAACTATCCAATACTTTTATGTACGCTCGATTCGATATTATTCACAACTTTCCAGCGTAGTAGATAGCCCCAGGAGGAATTCCCATTACTTCTTTTTGTCAAGGTATGTCGTTTCGTAATTAAAAAGTAAGATATGGATTGTAAGGTAAAAAAAAATCTGCAAAATGCTAAAATGCTTGAAATATTTTATCGATAAATTGAATCAATATGATCATCGCAAAAATAATTAACTCTTAGAATACAAATAAATTGTAATTAGTATAAAAAAATAAATTTTTCATATATGAAACGTAATTCAATCCTTAGCTAGACTGGATGTAGCAGTTTTTTTTTAATAAATTTGTACGTTGCAAGACAGCTTTTCATGTGAAACTCTTGACGCGATTAATTCATTAGTGGAAATGAAAAAAAAATCGATTCAAAAGTAGTATTTATTGCGTGGTGGTATTTTTTATTTGTATGTACAGTCAAGAGTACATCAAGCTTGACATTTTGTACTTTGGACCGTTCTTGTCATTGGCGACATAGAGTTGGTTTTAAATCTTAAGTTCAAACCTTGGCGTGCTCTTGACCCTGTTCCTCGACAGAGGAGACCGCTTAAGGATGGTGCCACTCATGTTGTATGCTCTAACATACATAGGTTGCGATACAAATATCGAAATTGATAGTCGAATAAAAGATTTGATTTTTGATATATCGAGTTTAAAAACATCAACGATTATTCCATGAAGAAAATATCGATATTTTTTACTATTCCTAGTAGGGTATTGGATGTGGTATAGATAAATAGAAGCCAGTGGGAGGACCGCGCGAGAGGCATTTTGTTAATGTTATGTTGGCATCATTGCTTACTCTTCGCGAAATATGCACGCATTGGGACGCCCGGATTTAGAATGTTCTTTGAAAATCTACGTTGAAATTTATGAAAAGCCGCGTGTGTGTAGAAGAATAAGTGGTTTTCCAGGTCCTCTGTGTATTTTGACTTGTAGTTCGTTGTGTATTAGTGATTGCGTTGGCTGACGAACAAAGAAAAACGTAGTTGCATAGAAGAGTGAAACATGGTGCCGCTAGGACCGGGCCCTGGCCATCCTGCTGCACATCAAACGCATGGTGGGCCGTCCACTAACTTATCCGGTCCCACATCGCTTTCGCAGAGTGCTCCACAGTCGAATAAATCTTCAGTAGCGGTGAGTTGCGCCATATGTGGCGCATTTCATGGCTTTGCGTCAGTTTAAGCCGCACATGTTTATGTAACTTCAACTTAAGTGCCGCGCACGTGCAATTTGCCGCTAAAAATCTTGAATTGGGTTTCAGAAACCAAACTACACCCTCAAATTCACGCTTGCCGGCCACACGAAAGCGGTGTCGTCAGTTAAATTCAGCCCTAATGGAGAATGGCTGGCTAGCTCTTGTAAGTACAATCATTATACTTTATGCGTGCGTGTGATTAGTCGGGGTATAAAAAGCTGGTGTAGTCGTGTAAAATGTCAATTTGAAGTTAACAGCGAGTAAAATAAGTGGGGACCGGCAGATAGTCAACGACCTTGACTTTTTTTGCTTACCAAGATATCTACTTTCGCCAAATCTTGCCCTTTTGCTTATATTAGTCTAATATGGTTGCAGTAATCAAGCATCAGAACCAAAATTCTATATCGAAATACTGTACAGAAGAACACAAATACTTACATGTTTCTGAAAATGCACGGTCTTTTGATTTCAATTTAAAAATTGCTAATGTCCACTACACACCTATTACAAAGTACAATGTACCCATGCAATGTAAACTATGTTACATGTTACAAAACAACTCGTAATTCAACTTTGATTTGACCCTGTTTTAAGATAAGTTAGCAACATGAGCTCAGTATTATTTAGCACAACTTGACATACATGCATAATACACACTAAATAATTTTTTCCGTACGTATTTATTTGAATTACAATCACTAATCAAATAATTTACGCCATTTATTATCAACATCTCTATAAAAAGGTTACTTATTTTAGTCACGGAATACTTTAGTTCCAATAAAAACTACTCCACTACTTGCTAATGTAGTAACCACCATTTTCAATCTCAAATGTAAATAAAATGTATTGAACAAACGAGCTTACAACTTAGTAGTAGGATACTACTTACTATAACAAGGTTGAATTTGGTGATTGTACTATGACTAAGGACCATTTGCCTGTGTTTTGTTAATAACAAATTGTATTGTAGTGACTTAGTTTACATTTGTGGAGTTATTCATACCCTAAAAAAGGCTTCTGAGAAGATCTTGATCATCAATGAAACTTAATACAATTTAAAATGATTCTTTTTCAATTACATTATGTTGTCCCCATTTATACTAAATATCACACTTATCTTTTCTTTGACAATTATTGCAGCTGCTGACAAACTCATAAAAGTATGGGGAGCATATGATGGCAAGTTCGAGAAGACTATATCTGGACACAAGATGGGCATCAGTGACGTCGCCTGGTCTTCTGACAGTAGGCTTATTGTCAGTGCTAGTGATGACAAAACTTTGAAGGTACTTTTCATATTTGATTTGCAAATTGTATTTGTAGTATAATTCTGCACTAAAAATAGTTACATGCTGGCCCTAGAACTTGTTTAGATTGATTACTAAAATAGTTTCAAGCATAGATGAGTAACATTGTGTACCTTAATCACCTTTAAGTTCTTTTTGCAAACCCAGCAGATGTTAGTACACCAGTACCTTTCCAGTTTCGCCCAACTATTCATCTCATGACTTGTGCTATTGTTGAGGAGTAGAATGATAGTCCCACACCAATTGCCTGGTCTCAAACTAGGATATCCCCTGTTCTATGAGTAACAGAACAATGAGATTAACTTTGGAGCACTAAGCAAAATAGGCCCCAGGATATTAAGTTGTAGATGCCAGCCCGTTACACCATTTCATACCATAACTAAGAACACCCAGACTAGGACCAACTCCCACATATACATAAGTTTTGTTTATAGTGACCTTCTCTATCAACCTCTTGGTTATACAGGAAGGGCACTATAACTGAACTGCCCTGAACTGAGATCAGTCCGTTTGCACAGACATCCTCCAGTTCTTAAAAGGCTAGTGCCTTAGGTGAGCCGCCCTGGGTGCAGTACCGTACAGTACCCTCTCTATTTTCCTGGATAGGTACCAGAGCTGTCGTATAGTAGGCACTCTCACGTCCTGTTGCGCGCATCAAGCGCCCATAGTGTAAATCGCTGGGCCACCAAGGTTGTCATTTGTTACAATGCCATACAATACAAATGCTTAGTTATCTATCATAATATAGTTATATAAATTTATTTCATATACTTTTTATTTTATTAGTCAAACTGTACTTACTCTTATTAACGGGATTCCAAATTGTCAGCTATCTTTTTAAGTACATGATAAATCTAGGATCATTATTTACACTGTTCAAGTACTTTCTCACTATAATGACCTCTTATCTATCACACAACGTGAGACATGAATATCATTATCTTGACTGATAGCGACAAAATCTTTAAGTTGTTGATAAAAGTTAGCTGGAAAGTCTTACCTTAGTGTGTTTCCAAAATGTGTACCACATTGTAATGTAATGGGTGGGGTAAGAGGTGAAGGGGGATTGGAAACCTTAACTATATAGTCTAGTGTTTAGCAATAGACAAATTAGGTTAAACGATTTTAAACAAATGTCGTCACAATGCTCCAATCTCGAAAAATGGAAAGAAGAAATTTGACAGTTATGAAATTTTGAGAACCGAGGTATATGCATTACCTATTGACTTCTTAGGTTCTATATACATTACCTTTATAAGAAATATGATGACTATTCCTTTTACCCCATCTTCTAAGGGCAGAAAAACGCTAGTACAATTTGCACATTTTCGGCAAATACATTTTTATAAAGCTGGTAAACAGAGGCAAGTTTAGTGTACTTCAAAATTCTTATAAAACTTATCTGTTCTTCCTAGAACCCAAAACATCTGACTCAAAATAAAGTATGTTCCTTTTACCCCACCTGTAGGGCTAGCACGACAAGACGCGACATGCGCGAGAGCGACATAAAGCGTGAGATCTCTATGCGAGAATAGCAGTATCTCGCTCTTTATGTCGCTCTCGCGCAAGTCGCCTTACTGATTATATTTAAAAAACTTAAATCTGGTAAAATGTAATCATTTCATATAAGTACTAACCTCATATGTTAATTGTGAAAGAACTTTTAAGTGATAAGTAAGGTTACAATGTTTTGATACAGGCGTGTACTATGTATTCTTGATGACATTCAATGATTCCAGTATAGAATGTTAATAAGTATTACCTTGACTGAAAATTTACCTCGTATCTAAAGTTTGAAGGTACATATTTTTAGTTGCAACTGTAAACTTTTAGTAGCAGTAGGGCTTCTTGTGAAAGAGTTCGTCCAGGGAAGTACCACCTTACCTATTTCTGTCGTTCCGGTTTCGAAAGGTAGGGGTGCTGGTGTAATTAAGGCACATGGGACTTGTCAACTTATGTCTCTGGGTGTCGGGCGCAATAGCAGCGCCCCTCAGATCTTTGTGATTTAAAGTTCTGAGTGGCACTGCTACTTTTATGGACAGGCGTGTCGTTTACCACCACGGGCACTTGTTCGGCCTGTCACTTAGTATTATATAAAAAAAAAATTAAGAGAGTAAATTATTTATAATATACATAGGCTTAACTCCAAAACATACAATTTAAATAATAGTAATATTATGTACTACTATGGGTATATTTTATAACGTTGCCCAAAGTCTCCATAAACATATTTCATAATGTTGCATAATGTCTTTACAGGTTTGGGAATTAAGTTCAGGCAAATGCTTGAAGACGCTAAAAGGCCACAGCAATTACGTATTCTGTTGTAATTTCAACCCACAAAGCAATCTTATCGTATCGGGAAGTTTTGACGAAAGTGTTCGAATATGGGATGTTAGAACAGGTGAGTGCGATTGTTATGAATTAATGTCATTATTACAGTATAATATTCATTTAAATTAGTGTAATTTAAATTCCTAGCTTTTGAATAGTGTAAAGGGATGTTTAAAGTTTTAAACTCTGGCTTATATATAAATAGAATGATTCCACCGAGTTATGAATAAACCAATTGATTTCATTTCAAATGAGTCACATGGGTGAAATTAACCCCTTTCAAGTCTAGCGCAATAAACATTCTGTATATTTACATAAAGTGACGTGAATCCATTTACCAACAAACTCGTGAATCACTATTACTTTTATTGGTTGCCCAGGACTGTAACATTAAAATTCAATACAATAAGACAAACATTATTTATACTGGTGGAAGAAGTAAACAGGATTGTACAGGAATTCTAATTCTAATCTTATTGCAATATCTGGAATTGAATGATTACAAATATAAGGACACAATGTTAATAAAATGTGCAAGACAATTACTTCAATTAAACTGGTCTCAAACTTGATAATTCCATGTATTATAAATACCAGAACAATGGAACCAGTACCAGAACTAATTTAGAACAGTTTACTTCTCAAATGCTCTGATCGCGAATACAACCCGGTAATTCCTCCTCTAGCGCCCACAGCGGTATGAGTCTGGTCACCAAGGACGACAAAATTTCATGTAGTTATCCATTTTAAAAGTATAGCAAGCAAGTTATGTGTATTTACCCATTATCATTCTTATTTGTAAATGGTATAGATTTCAATTTAAAACCGAAGTGTTGCTGACTATTTATAGTATCTTAACACACGTTGGAGTAGAATCTGTTCCAAGAAGCTCCTGTGCAAGTATTTAGAGTGACTCTTTAAGTATGCAAGTTTTGCAATACTGTTTGTTTGTGTTGCAGGCAAATGTTTAAAGACACTACCGGCGCACTCGGATCCCGTGTCGGCGGTGCATTTCAATAGAGATGGAAGTCTAATTGTATCTTCTAGTTATGACGGCTTATGGTAAGTTGTATGTGTTTATTATCTACTAAAACACTCTTGGAATTTAGGTGATCTATTTCTGTTATACCAAAAATAACGTTTGTTGATGACCTTCGTGGTCGAGTGGCTTGCACACAGATTTTCACGGTGTCGCCATCTCGAGTAGAAAGTTAACTTTTCTATATTGTCTCGGGTTTAGGTGTTTGTGGTGTCGTCGTTGTTTCCGATTTCTATAACACAAGTGCTTTAGCACTGTTCTTACTGTTTAGTGTACTTACTTTGAGAATAAAGCAACATATGTGATGTTATATCGAGTACTTAGATTTTCGCGATTTTTACGATTTTTACTCATATGAAAAATCCCAAACAGACATAAGACTGCAGACTACTAATTAATATGGTTTAATTTATTCTAATTTATATTATTAATTAATAATAAGTTGAACTTAATAAAAATTCATTCAATAAAATAATTTGTAAAACGTAATGTAAAATTAAAAATAAGGTATTTAATTAATAACTTTTGTAACTATAGAGAAAAAATAGGGTGGTTTGCATTAATATTACACATAACTGGTTGATGACTGTACCACCTGAGTCAACCGTGACCATGGGACCTGTAAAGGGCCCGAAACGTCGGTTTGTTTGAAAAAACAAATATACGCGATTAAATCCGGAAAATTAGTTTCATTTCCTATATGTGATGTTATTTAACATTTATTTTATTTATTTGATGTCTATGTATAGTCAAACAATATGTGGGTTAATGAAGCAATTCAGCACGCTTTTCACTTCTGTTTCTGCTTCCGCAACTTTTATGACTGAACTTACAGAGGAAGTTTTTAACCATGTTGGCAATTTATCTCACGCGCGCATGTATTGCTTGGTGGTGGGGCGCGCGTTTCGTAGCGTTTTGAAATCAAAAGCAAGCCTTGTTTTGAACTACTTTGTTGAGATCTTTATAGTATTTATACTTACGCTTCCGCATCCATCTTCATTTCCACTAAAATTTACTTTTGACATCTATTGCCGTTATGACACTTCTATTACATTACTAATGTGGGTATTACAATGATTAAAACCTGGCTTTAGTAGAATGGACTGGTTTCCTTATATTTTTATAAAACAAAATTACAATCATTTGGCTTACTACTTCAGTACGTTCTTTACATTTGACACTTTCTAATTCTTTCACATATTTATCTTTCTGTATTTTTCATTCCTGCAGTCGAATCTGGGATACAGCATCAGGACAATGTCTCAAAACGTTGATTGACGACGACAACCCTCCAGTGTCATTCGTGAAGTTCTCACCCAACGGCAAGTACATCCTAGCAGCAACGTTAGACAACACGCTAAAGCTCTGGGATTACAGCCGTGGAAAGTGCCTCAAGACTTATACTGGACATAAAAATGAGAAATACTGCATCTTTGCCAATTTTAGTGTTACCGGTGGAAAGGTACGATTCGCGAATATCAAATATACTCAATTAATCTATGTATATGATGAAATGTTGATATGACAAATTGCGATCGTGATATCGTCGGTTAAAAGGTAAAACTCATTAAGTGACATTTTGTTCAAAAACTAGATTTTTTCAATTTTGCTTTATTGGGAAGAACATCTATGACAAGAAAAATTCAGTAAGTCTGTGGTGTCCTTCATGTTTTAATACATACCAGTCCTTTAGTGATTTTTCATAATGAAAAAATACAAAATCTTAATTATCTCCCTTTGGCCAATTAGGCTATTAGTGAGTTTTACCTTTTAACCGACGATATATGGTCAGGAGCATGTGAAGCTTGACATTTAAGATTCAAATTCAACTCTAAACCACTTATGATAGTAACGGTCTCAATGTAAAAATGTCAAAGTCGATGTGCTCTTGACTATACCAGTTTATAGAATGCACGGAAGGAGCTCCGCATAACGTACCTTTTCTTTCCTGTACGGTGCGCCCTGGGCAACTATCGACAGTACCTTACGTCGATTGGAAAATCGTTTCACCACGACGGCGATACAATAACGCTGCCTCCATGACCGAACGGTTACCGTGCCGGACTGCCACGCAGAGCTCCCAGGTTCGATTCCCGGGCTGGGAGAAATATTTGTATGGTCTATATTTATTTCTCGTGAGTTTGGGTGTAATTTGTTAATTATACATCTTAATCTGTGTGTCTGTAACATATACAAAGTGTAACTAATAGGTGGTCTTAAGTTTTGTTATACAATAATTTTACGACTATAATAATTAACGGTATCTTAATATTTCAATCTAGAATTAATTTTAAAGCTCTTCGCCAAAGCAAATCGTCCTCCCAATTTTTCTTTTCTGAGATATTCACAAACGTCCTTGTCCACAGTGGATAGTGTCAGGCTCCGAAGACAACCTGGTCTACATCTGGAACCTCCAGTCAAAGGAAATTGTGCAACGATTATCAGGACACACAGATACAGTTCTGTGCACGGCTTGTCACCCCACCGAGAACATCATTGCGTCCGCCGCTCTTGAAAACGATAAGACCATCAAGCTGTGGAAGAGCGATACTTAAGTGCTATTGTGAGTTGCTACTACCAAAAAAAATTCGAGTGCCTCCTTCTTGATGAGTTTGGCTCTGATTTGATCGATTTACAAAAAGGTGACTGGGTGTTAAATGCATTGTGCAGCAGGTTGAGACAGTTGTCATATTAGCGAAAGAAATGTTATTCTCTAATGTAACTACAGTATGTAATGTATGTAACCGCATAAGGAGTCAAATTGCATGGCAGGAAGAGGTCTCATACGTAATGCATGATTGAGCAACCTTGTCCTAGCTTATAGTTTGTAAATATTGACAAGATATAATTAATAAATGTATACGACAAAAAATCCCAATTACGTTTAGTAAGTACCAAGTACTTCTCGAATGTAATTGAATACTGTAATGTTTTTTTAATTCCAGAATAAATGACGATTTTGAACTGTATCTGTTGGAATCGTAAAAAATAACTATGTTTACAAATAGCCTGAAAATAACAAAACACCGATATGTGCGCATTTTAGCGTGGTATAATCGGAAGAGGTGAACTTGATCTGGTTTGTTCCAGGCTAGGTAGCAGCCAGTGACCTGTGCCGGCTCCATATTGCGAGCCGGCCGTCGCCCCGCTGGCCTGTCCACCATTTGCATAAGATACCTTACCTACGGTACCTTCAGACATTCACTTCTCTTATTCGATGGAACGTGTGCATTTTCGGTTGTTATTAAGATATACTGATATACATATTTTTGTATTTGACATGCTAATGAAAAGAACTATGAAGTGTTTTAGCGATTACGTTTTAGTTAAGATTGAGTTATTAAGGATTTTGCTTAAGAATAACTTGTTGGATTCGATTAAAAATTTAGTAGTTGTACGAAATGTGATTTTTATTGCCTTTTTACAATTAATTACCTAAGTGTGAAATTACAAATAATTGAGCTTTACATTTTTAGTCGTATAACTGTCCTATATGTGTGTAATATATATACAGGTGTAACCAAAGGGTGCAGTGGAAATCCAAGAATGTAGAGAGTTACTTTCAAATAGCAAATTGGCACTGGTATTTTAGTTGAATATACAATTACGATAATTCGTCGTCATCAATATTAAAATCACAGTATTAGTTAATATATAGTAATTATTAATATTATAATATTAACAGTTCAATCGAATCGTGCGATCGGTTGCGCTAAATCGTACAGCGATTGGGCAGGTGCAACTGATATCGTGGTCAAAGTGTACAAATTGAAGGTTATTTAGGTTATAACATTGACTTACAAATAAATGGACGACGGGTCTAATACAAAAACCACGAAAAAAATATCCCAAGTCAATCTATTCGAAATTTAAATTGTAATGTCATCGCAGTATCGCGCTGTCAGTCGAACAAATGAAGACTAAAGCGGAGTTTGGCGCACTGTATACGATTTTAGCGCCTTACAAGTGCGAACACTTTTTAGCGCGGACCCGACGTCCATATAATTGTAAGTCAATGGGTTATAAGGTAGGTTTTCGCTACCAACCGGTCACACGATCAGAGTATACATAACCCTTTATAATGTCGCTACTCACTAAAATTCCTTTTTAGTATGTCAACAGTTAACATTTCCATAAATAAAATAAAGATTCACACAGATAAAAATAAAAATTCAAAGTAAAACGCAAAAGTACTTTATGAAAGACGTGCATCTTTTTTATTTGTTTTGTATGCATATGGTTTGCAATCCCAAGTTGTAGCTGTTCCGCGAGTGTTGGTCCGCGGATTATTTTCGAAATGATCTCCTCTTCTATGTCAGGATCACGAACACTTGGGCGACTTTCTGGCTTATCATCCTGGAATGTGCCAGTAGTTTGAAGCCTCAAAACCATATTCCTAAAGCAGGCTCTGGAAGGAATTTGACAGCTTATAATATAAAAGTAACGGGACTTACTCGCGTAGTATTTTAGTCGGAAGCGGTTCGGCTAGTTTCGACCATAATCGATGGTCTTCAGGGGCGCACCTAAACATAAAACACGGCTCAATTTACATAGCTGCGGAAGGGAATGGAAACGAATTTTCGTAATGAAATTTTAGAGCATAATGATTTTATATAATTGTGTAACCTACAATATCTAGATCCTATACCGTAGCTGCGGCAATGCCAGAGACTGCGCGAGAGGTCTCCGAAAGACGCGATTTATTTTAGCACTTATCTAGTTTGTACTATACACAATTAACATACACTCTATTATGTTTTGTTTACAAAATTTCACCTCCAGTCCTTTCCGCGATAACGTAAATTGAGACTTGCTCACTTATTTTATAACGAACTTCACACTAATAAGAACAAACCTTCAAAGAAAAAAAGTTAATCAACCCCTTAACGACTTGCAACAACAAAAGCTCATCATAGAACGAATTTACGCACACGAACAATTCCTCCAATGAATAAAATCATGGCCTTTTGGGAATAAGACAATAATGACGTCCATATTTTACTGGACTCCATTACGCGGCAAAGTGAAAAAATCAGGTCGGCGTGCGCCTTTGGGGATCCTGCCTCGACGACGGAGCAAATGAAGTCTAATCAAGTTTGCGTCTAACTCTTTCTGTGGCACGGATTAGTGAAATTAATCAGCAGCGTATTAGATGGACAAGTGAGTTTTTAACTTGGTATGTTGATAAGAAAATAATTTCGACTATGTAAATAAAATGTATAGTTATAGGTTACAAGCTGATGAAACTTGCTGAAGATAATTCATATAAAATATAAGTGCGATCTAACCCTAAGTGTTCATCCGTCCGTTCATTTTCCGATGGTTGTGAAACTTCTTCGAAGTGCAGGTTTCATCACAGTTTTTCTTCACCGAAAAGGTCGTGGTAAATTTAAAATGATATTTCCAAACTAAGAGGCGCGAGACCGGATTCGAAGAAGGCGGTAGGTCCAACCATTAGCTTACCACGGATTTTTTACCCTAACGGCGCATTTACACTGGGTTGTTTGCCGCCTTTAGCAGACTACTTCGCAGCCGCCGTTTGCACCAAGTCGTTTGCCGCCTTCGGTAGACTACTTTGTTTTGTCGAAGGCGACGCAGTCTACTCGCCGCCGCCGTTTACACCAAGTTGTTTGCCGCCTTCAGCAGACTACTTTGTTTTGTCGAAGGCGACGCAGTCGACTTGCCGCCGCCGTTTACACCAAGCCGTCTGCCGCCTTCGGCAGACTACTTTGTCTTGTTGAAAGCGACGCAGTCGACTCGCCGACGCCGTCTAGACCGAGTAGTCTGCCTCCTTCGCTAAATACATCCTTATCGCGGTGGGGTGTGGCCGCGGATACGTTGAAACATGTTCGGCTGACTGTCGCATGCCGAAGGCGATTGTGGCCTATAGAACAATTACATAAACAACAAGACATGGACAATCTAATATACCTAGTCGCTTCGGTTGCGAGTGCCAACTACGGTCATCAGACGACTCACTATTTACACTGGGTAGTTTGTCGGTGGGCAAGCGACAGTCGCCGGGTGAATTAAATGTTACCTTGTTTGTAAATAGGCTGGTGAGTAGTTTGTGTAGTAAACGAAGGTAATCGAAGCCAACGTTTAAAGCGTAGATATGTTCTTTTCGAGAGATGAGTTGTAAAGTGTCCTTTCCAATATCAGACAAATTATTAATTAGAAAAATGTTTACATAGAGAATTGTACCAGCGGAAAAACCCGTTAAAGTAAGTCGCACAAAACGGTTATTATAATTTCATATCGAAAACGCAATACAAAAGTCTTAAATTTAAGCCAGTAAACTCTTATTACATTTTGGCGTAGCTGCGAAGCTTATCCGCGTGAAATTCCCATGTCTTGCCCTGGGGGACCCCAGGGGTCGCCCATAATAGGGTTGTCAACCTTAACATCAGAATTGGGGCAACCCAAACAAAGGAAGATTGGTAGTGGTGACATTTTTGTGTGTTGAGTTGGAGATAAGGTTTAGTTACGTAGATATTTACGTTTTTAACTTTATTGTGATAGATGAAATTTTGAGGAATCTTTATTTTTGAAGATCTACATCATGTTTTTAATTGCCAGTAATAATAACAATAGTCAGCCAATGTATAAGTCCTACTATTGGCAACAGGTTGCACCTAGTTCACACGCGGGCCTAATGCGGATTGGGAACTTCACACACATCATTAAATTCCTTTGCAGATGTGTGCATGTTTCCTCACGAGATTTTCCTGCACTGAAAAGCACATGGTAAATTTCAGATTAAGTTTCGCACGTAAATTCGGAAAACTGTAGATCAAACCATTAAGCTAGCTTTTTTGCAAATATTTTAGGTTATTATAGTTGAAGAAATATTATCTCTTGGAACGGCTTATCCTTTCTATTACAATACAATAATAAAACCACTAACACTTCTTTTACTCAAGGCGTGCATGGACTTAATGATCTTGGTCCATCGTACGAGTCATGGGTGCGTGCGCTAAATGCTTTTTTAACCGGCTTCAAAAAAAGGAGGAGGTTCTCAATTCGATTGTATGTTTTTTTTGTATATACATAATATGTTACGCGATAACTCCGGCATTTGTGAAACGATTTTGATGATTCTTCTGTTGTTGAAAAGAGAGTACCTCAGATGTGGTCCTATTTAAATTTGAAGAAAATATTCCACCTCTAAGGGTGGCAAACTAGGGGATGAATGACTTTTGAGGTCGGTTTTTTTAGTACTCTGTCATTAACCTACAGGTCAATGTACTCTGTACTGTGTTTCAGAATTCTGGTTTTGAATTATTTCTTTACTCGTCGGTAGGGTAAAAAAGGCCGCATTAGCAGAATCATAGTTTGATTAATAGACAATTCATATTATGAATAGTCAAAAAAAACAAAAAGCGCAATGAATGAAAATTATGACTTGTAAGAAATTCATAATATGAATTGTCAATTAATCATATTACGATCTGCCAATTCGGCCTTTTCAGCCCTGCTGGCCGTTTTTTTTAAACTTGTGAGTACTTCGTAAAATACCGACTGTCGACTCTTGTAACTAATTCAACAAAGTTAGTTCCGTAAAAAGATTGCCACGTTTTGAATTAAGTGCCAATGCGTAAAAGTGTTTAAACTAGTTGTTTGCACTATACAGATGGCATACGCGTTACCGAGACGGCTCTCTCTTTTGTCTTATTGTATTTTAAATTTGATAATCGGTGCAAATAGTATTTCGCCAACTATAATTAAGTAATCATCCCTCGATAGTACGTTTATAAAACGTAAAAGACATGTGAATTGGACTATTAGGCATATAGCCAGCAGAGGCTGAAGTGATACCTGGATTACCTTGTACCCATAGGTAACTACGTAGAGGTAGGTTTATAATATAAAATCTGTAAATAATGAAGTTGGTAGAGCCGTTCTTGAAAGATATGCGATTTGAACAATTCCAATCATCTAACGGCGATGGTTCTTGCCCTTTTCGGTAACCATGGCTAAATTCCATTTCGTAATTGATTAACTTTTGTATATGATGCTGTTAGAACCATGAACTATAACACTTCAAACCTAATGTACGTTCTGCCACTGTTCTTAAGTTTTCGTGATTGTTACTACATATATTTGTTTTTTCAAAGAAGCCATTGCTTCGGGTCCTTTCAGGTTTCAGGTTTTAGGATGGGATCCGTAAAGGGCCCGAAGCGTTTGTTTCTTTGAAACATTAATACGTATACGCCATTTAAACCCGAAAAAATAGTTTCATTTCCAAAACCCTTAATAATGTATAATATTGTTGGCAGAGCTTTCAAAGAACCTTGCATCGGTATAAAGCGCTTTATGTGTTTATAAGTAGGTGTGGAGTGAAGGTATCTTTCGACTTTGCTACGTTATACCTTTCAACGTTATCGGAATTTATCT